GCCTATTTTCCCTGTGTTCACGATCTGGGCCTCTGTTGGGCCAATTGCTCATGTGGAATCATCATAAGCAGGTCTGCCCTTTTTAATGGGTCCTGGCACGGATTTAGGCCCCCTTCAACATCAATAGTATTTAGTTCGAGTTCATTATCAACCCATTGGTTACTAACTCAGTTTGAACATTTAATTGAAAGTAGAAAAAATAGGAATTCTCTTAGCCTTGTTAAGTAATCAATTAAGCCCATTAATTAGATTGAAGGTGAGCCATATTAGACAACGCCAATAGTTTATGGCCCTCCGAGTTTGATTTTAGTTCTTCTTTTTAATTCGGAATTGAGGTGCGTCATGCCAAACAAAGATGACAATTGCATGGCCCTCGTTTTAATTATTTTTGATTTAATCCTTAGAATTTGAGGCGTACCACCTAGTGGAATTTTCATGGCCCTGGCAAAGTTGCAAACGCGTAGTTGCTTCAGGCGCGTTGTTTAAATAATTTACCTTCCTAAACTCGGGTGCGCATTTATGTGACCCAAATCCAAATCTCAACGTTAGATAAAATGTGTTGCGAACTGTGGGTGCATTTATGTGACGTGGTTTGGAATATATTTTAAATGACATTGCAAATTTTCTTAAAAATGGTTAAAAGCGGTTATAGAGTTAAAATTGCACATAGGTTCAAAATGTTTTAAATAAGATAATTGAGCCAATTATAATAGTTGAGCGACCGTGCTAGAACCACGGAACTCGGGAATGCCTAATACCTTCTTCCGGGTTAACAGAATTCCTTACCCGGATTTCTGTGTTCGCGGATGTAAAACAGAGTCAATCTTTCCTCAATTCGGGATTTGAACCGGTGACTTGGGACACCATAAATTATCCCAAGTGGCGACTCTAATTTTAAATAAATAAATTCCGTTTCGATTGTCACTTTAAGCTGGAAAAAACTCCCTTATACACCCCTATTTTCGGGAGCGTAGGTAAAAAGGAGGTGTGACAATATGATTGATATTTCTAACTTTCATGATTGTATTTATACAAGATGCAATGTAAAAGGAAAACTCGATTTATAGTCGAACTTTTGAGGCTATAAAACCAAAAAGTATGTGAAGAAAATGAAGCATTGGAGTACTACCACAAAAATTTAAATGAGAGAATGAGGGATAGTATTTTCAGTTTTATGTGATACTATTAGGTGAATATCTTTTGTTGACCATTTAAGATTGTGGTGGGTTGAATATGATCCTTTTATACTAATTAGAGATTTTGAATTCGAGTCTAGAAATGAAAAAAGATTAGTGGGGAATGCTAGTTCGAATTAGTCGAGACTCTAATAAGAATACCAAATAAGAACCAAAATAGAATCTGTTCTTGGAAAGGACATAAAAATAGCACAGGCTAGTCAGTTTTCGGACTGATCATTCAAAAATAGCCAACGTTTGCAAAGTCATTGAAAAATAGTCACTATTTTGCTGCAACACGCAAAGTTCCAGCATAATATACTCGAGAGCGGTGCACTCGTGTATGAACTTGCAGCATATTATGCTGGAACTCCAATACACGGAAAGTTCCAGTATAATATACTGGAGATTGGAACACCGGTACTCCAATCTCCAATATATTTTGCTGGACCGGTATATTATTCTGGAACTCCAGTATAATATACTGGAGTTTCAACATAAGTATACTGGAATTCCAGTATATTATACTGGAGTATTTTTCTGGATTTTAAACAGTGTTTTCGTTCAAATTTATCTTTACATGAAAAGTGACTAAATTTCGATTACTTTTGAAACATTGGCTATTTTTGATAACCACTTATAAATCCGGCTATTTTTGAATTTCTCCCGGAAATTGATCATGTTTAATTATCTTTGTTATTCCTTTCATTAAGCACCAAAAGTTCCTTCCATTGCAAGAATAATTTGGCCTCCATACATATTTTTAACCTTTAAAATGTCGACGACTATCTCATTTTCCTTGTTGCTTATCATCTTTTTTTAATCTAAGGCGTTTGCTATTCCCATCCAATTAGTGACCAATATATATGTTATTTCCCAACCAAATAGGTTAAGAGAATTTAACTGAAATTACTCATAAAAGTGTGGTCCAAAATTAATGGCAGAATAAATAATTCGGGATAGAAAGTAGTAACCTACACTTAGCTACTTATATACTCCCTCCATTCACTTTTACTTGGCATGTATACTAAAAATAGATTTTCATTTTTATTTGTCACTTTACGTATATCAAGAGAAGACAAAAAATAATTTCCTGTTATACCCACAATATTTATTACTCATTTCAAATCATTTTCTCAAATCCAATAAAATATGCATCAATTAATATAGATATCATGGTAAATTATGCACTTCATTTATTATTTCTTAAGGGGTGTGAAAAGTCAAAACGTGCCAAGTAAAAATGAATGGAGGGAGTATTTGTTATAGGATAATGAAATACCAAATGCATGTAAGTTGCCGGTTTAAAATCATACTCCTATTTATTAAACAGTGGTTCTACATATCTTAATCATTCTTTTATGTTGAATACTATAACACAGATTACGTTCTTCAAATCGTAAGCATATATAATTTTTAATCCAATATTATTTCTTTTGTTTTGTATTTATCAGAATTCAGAATTATTAATAGTCAACTGTGCTTCTGCTAGCTAGACATCATCACATTGTTAAACTTATTAGTAGTTTGACGCTAAACTATTGTGCCATCAAAAAAATTTCTTAAATTCATTTATAATTAAAAGCGAGAAAAGAAAAATAAAAGGTTTAAGCGAAAACATAAGTACAAGATATATAACAAATATCAAAGTTGCAAATAGTCATTTAAAATAAAAACAAATATACATAAAGAAGTGGACTACAAATTATTTCATAACCTTTATGATTATATTCGTTATGCATTCTCTTTATTAGATGCATTAGGAATACTTTAAGTTAAAAGATACTAAAGAGATAATAATTTGAGGGAAAAAAATCCAGCTGGGAATATTTTGTGGAGCTTTGAGTTTTTTCAACTCATGACACTGACCTGCCAGAAATAGTAAAATCAAAGAGAAAGCGAAAACCTGGAAAAAATAGTTAAAAGAAGCCACTGTGATGATTGCTTACCCTTAAAACGGATAACAATTGAATTTATATGCCGTTTTAAGAATATGTGAGTTAATTTGACACAAATAATCATAAATGTTAGATAAATGAGGTAAATATAGAATGAATAACTAAACTAATTATGATGTTACGGTCGGGCTCGGATTTGGGCTGAACAGTAATTTTGTCCTCGATTGAACCCTTGGTTCGAAGCCAAATGTGTATGAAGAACAACAATAAAATAAGAACTTTGTGTATGAAGAACAACAATAAAATAAGAACTTTTCAATAGCTAGAAAGCAGAGAAATGAATTTGTATTGCCCCGGTATGCGTATTATAATGTGTCCTATCAAAGAAAAAATTCCCCCCGGAGAGTTTCACCCCTAGTACAAGTCTAAAAAAGGTAAAAATTCTCCTTCTTCGTTAATTATTGATTTGTAACCGCCATCGAGCGAGATACGCACAGTGATATCCGGTTGGTTCCGAATATCGCGACCCTCTATCTGTCGCCTACAATCGTTTATGCGCTTCCCGAAGTCTCATAACTCATATCAGGTTCGGGGTACGTCGTTTTATCAAGTCCGATGGCGAGCACTATAAGAAGTTCCCAGTTTCGACTTTGATCCCATATATTCGTACCTTTGCTTCGTTTGACCCACTGGGAAATCAGGGTGTGCGTTAGCCCCGATTTTACCCGTATAGAATGAGAGTGATAAAAAATTCTTAACTTAGCATTCAAATGCTATAAGATTCGATGTTCAATAACAAATTAAGATGGATTAGATATATGAATCTTCACTATGTTACTTTACCATGATCACAAAGAAAAAAAGTATACAAAAATGATGGCCCCATTTTTAAAACTTACTTCGAAGGTATCAAAACTTGGTTCTTTAACATCAGTGTTCTATGAAACAAAAGTGTTTGACAGAATTGTGTTCTGGATGAAAAACAACCATTACTAATAAATATAATCTAAATACAAATCATATGATGTTCTTTCGAAAATATTTTTTAAAAGAATTTCCATAGCCCACCTAAAAAGATGTCACTGTTCACCAACAGAAGAAGGACGACCAGTGACCTTGTCAATACCAAGACTGACTTAATTAATGGTAGGAACGGCAATTAATTTGCAACCTTTTATTTTTCTACTTTCCAGAGTCCCACCACATCTTTCTATTGTCTTTCCCATTTAAGTCCTTTTTCTTAATCTTAACGTAAATGGCATCATTATCCTCCATACCCAGCCTTCTGATATCAATAGACAAATTTTAAGGTGCTTACAAGTTTATTTTAGCCGACTTTTGCTGTCTTAAGCTCATTTGAATAAATGGAGCGATATGATCAGTAAGAATTTTTATAATCGACCCCAACTTATTGAGGTGTATTTGTTCTGTCTTAGGCTAAATAGCTACTTCTTGGACATTCAGCTTGCCAAATTAGATCAAGTTTGATAACGCAATTTTTAACGTTATGAATGATTTTTCAGTTGGAATTCCATAACTTTCTTTGGTTTTTAAAGGGCATTATATTGTTGGAAACTGTTTGCAGTTTACCAATCATAGTGAGTTTAGAAAATGAACCTTAATTGAGAAAAAGAATTTCCTCCAAAATACACCCTTACAATAAAATTAAAATCTTCTTTAACTTTAATTGAGTTACAGAGTTTGTCTATTCGATGTAAAGAAAGTAAGTAGGGAATTTCCATTTGGACAATATCTAGTTTAACTGGAATAAATATATATATCCGCAAGTTCAAAGTAGAAGAGAGTATTTGAAAATTTTAAGTTGTGTTCAAACGAATTTCACTTGGAAAAAGAAAGTTGAAGATTTACTACTATAACTTGAAATACTCCTCAAACGAGCATTTCAGTATTTGCAAATACTAATAGCTACTGAACTTGAGTATGCTATCCCCCAAATATCATGATATTTGATACAGAGCAGAAGCAATGTTGTAAAACCAGAATATGTAAGGCATGTTCACAATCCTACAACTCCATACATTCCCTATCTTTTGTTACAAGTGATTAACTTAACCACAAGTCATGATCTTATAGTAACTAGGCTACAACTTATAATCAACAGCACAGCCTCTTTAAAAAAATTCTATGATTTTAACATCCTATACATAATGTGTAAGTGGGCAGCTGTGGGGAATAATAATGTACAAACACCTCAAATGAAATAACACATTGCAAATAGTAATGGTACATGAACTGAGGAGGAAGACGACGAGGCTGAAACCGATCCTCTTTGGTGATAAAATAGCAGGAGCATTCCACAATTCAGAAAGACAAAGGAGGGAAATCATCTTCATCTTTTAGATGGTATGATGATGACTTGAGAGCAAGCCTGAATTTGTAAAAGCAAGCTTAGAAGGTTTGTGATTGAATACTGTACGACTTACTATTCAAAGGTGCTCGTACCTATCAAGATCCTTACTAAAAACAGAATTTGACCTCTGCATCCCTGGTATCGGAGATACTGGGCTGGTCTGTCGAGTAGGTGGAGAGACAGGTTTTTCTTGCCTTGTTCTTTCGGAGATGCTCGTTCCCAGAGGCACCAGGCCAACAGAACCAAACTCAACCACTCCCTCCGACTGTACAACCAGAGCAGTCATGCTACTACGGTGTCCTCTCCCACGAGGGGAAAATAAAGGGTGGACATCGCTTTGATCAGCAGAAGATTCAGGCTGTGGCTGCTCATGGAAGCTTCTCTCAAGTGTGTGCATCTCCGTGAAAGTCGCCCGGCCATTAGTTCGGGGAGATCTCAATCCTGCTTGATGTCTACCCTTCACCATTGACGGCCTATAACCTTGTGGAGGACGATTCTGCAAATGTTAAGCCACAAAGAACTTATCAAACAGGGAAGATTATTTTTGCTCACAATAGAAAGAGTTGCATGCATGGGTCTGACCCACATGTGCAATGACTATTGCACTTGATCTGCACCGCTTTCAATAAACAACAAGTATAACATGAGTATACCAAGTTTGGGAAGTAAGTCCCAGTTCCCCGTGGCTTTGGCATCTCTTCCAAGGCATAAGGCATGCCATGTACTAACATTGGGTTTATGGTATAGAAGGCTTGACTTGGGATAACACCATTTGTACTACCATGAGAAAAACCATTCCTTTTCATATATGACGGTTGCTGAGCAGCTTCCCATGAATACTTGATGTGAAATGGAGACGGTGGTGCTGGAGGTACAGGCAGATTCGAGGCATATTCATAACACCAGCGGCCATACTGCAAATAGTTGAAGTAATTGTCATAGTCCCCACTTAGATCAGACAAAGCTTTCGAAGGAATCCCAGCACCATTTGTTGAGGCCAAATCCCAGTTCAAATCTTCAGAGCAACCATATGCTTTTGGTGTAGAAGAGACAGCTTCTTTAACATCCAATACAGTCTGCTTCAAGCCATCGACAGTAAAGTCCCTTCCCTCATCAGACGTAGGCAGCGATGACCCAGATGAAACTCTCTTCTCATTTTTCATCTCCCCATTGCACACAAGGGAGTTGGTGAAATAAAGATGAGGTGCATGATAAGGCATGGCCTTAGTTGTTGATTGGCACTTTTTGCTACTTGAATCAGTAAGTTGAGGAATATGAGTAGATATTGAAAGGCCATTCTCCATGGAGCTGGCAAGATCTGCTGCATCCCCAGAAAGACGGTAACCCAAAGGGCTCCCCTTTTCATGGCTATCTGTAATGCTTTTATGATGTCCATCTTCTCTGCAACAAGATTCATCAGGATTGAGCCTAAAAATTCCGCTATCACTGGCAGAATTCAAATCAGAATTTATTCGTGATGGTTCAAAATCTGGAGCAGGAGATGCAGGACAGAAGCCATTGATCATATCTTGAACATCAGGCCTCTCTCCGCTACCATGCCGATCCATAGTATTAGGAAAAAACTTATAAAGTTCCTCCGCAATTTTATCCTCAGACTGGATAAGTATACTGCCCAGCTTCCTAGCCCCATAACTGAAAGCACTTCGTATTCGGAAGAAATTCCCTGCACAACACCCAGACATCCATCATATAACACATCACTGTTGGATAAGGAAAACAACGTCTTGGACGACTACTGGTCTAATGTCCAAAATCAATTCTACAACCAAACCCGTCTTTCTTCTGAAGCTAGTTGTTTGGAATGAGATAATCTGGAAATGCTAGGAATTATCTGATTATGTTTTTTTTTTATACTCATCTCAAAAAGAATTAATCTGAACCCACTGGGTCTAATCTGGTTTTACTTTGATGCAAATCCATTCTATGGTCTGCAAAAAGTTCGATTGACCTTTTTTTGGTAAGATGCAAATTGTTCGATTGAATTGAGCCTAACCCTCCCCCTGTATCTAAGAAATACCGCATGTCGGATAGTATTAATACTTATTCCATATCTGATACCAGCATATAATCCATTGATTACCATGAGGATTATACTGCAGTAACAAAGAGGATAGAGAATATGTTCAAGAGACCTTTTACCTTGACTAACACTGCGACCAAGATTGTTATTTTCCTTTAGAGGATCAATTATGTTAAGATGCTTTCGCAGAAATGTCCGGGAATTCGAATCACCGCCTTTAGAAGGCACCGAAAACATGTCGAGACAATATCTAACAAAATCATTGCTGAGCAGTAAATCACCACCATCTGTTTCAGGCATCTCAACTGCATGAGGAAAGAAAATCATTGGAACCAAACAAAAAGTCATGGGATCAGTACATACTGCAATGCCGGAACATGTTGCTTACCAACAGATTCTGGTAAAGAGGATATGCGAACAGGCCCAGTTAGACTAACACAACAGTTTTCCCAATCGAACTTGCTAAAGTAGTCCAAAAATTTATAAAGAACCTAAAATTCACCATATCAGTCATTAGGCTCACCAATATATCAAATAGAAATAGGAAATATCAGCAGTTATGCCAGGAGAACTCACTGCTAAGGGGCCATCTAGTGTTGAGTGAAAAAAATGGAAGATGTATAGAACCAAAGTTTCTAAGGCATAAGTAGAAATCAAGCCATGATGAGCACCAAGAATCCGGCTTTCATAATAACACCAAGTTTTTATCAAGATAATGCTGCGCTTAAATAGATGATCCTTTCCAATGAGGCGATCAACCTGTAAAAGTAAGCAGAACCCACATCAGTGAAATGTACGTTTGCTTTCACAAACAAAAGGATCAAAGGCAATATAGAAACCAAAGTTGATTCAGAGTAATCTCATTTTCCTCCTTCCCACCCCAACCCCAACCCCTGATGCCTTCCCAGGGGATGACAAAAGAAACAAGAAAAGCTTAGGGCAATGGGAACATCAACATCTTCTCAGTTCCAATAGTCGTGATTTCATCAATTTATAATCTCTTTAAACCGTGAAATAGTTTGTATTTCCAACCGAGGTCTACTTAAAGTACTTTCACCAAAATTTTCTCATCGTTCAGAGAAAAGATCAGAAGAGCACATTCGCACATTGTCAATACTAAAACGTCTTCTATCACCTTATCATAAAAAGAAAGTCTTATCAATCAATATTCATAAGTATCCCACTCTCACATATGATTTTAACACTTCCAAAATGGATAAAGAATCTGCATTTGCAACACCATTCCCCTTCTTTCTCTTATGAATATTGGTTACCTTGCCTTCTTTTTATTCTAAAACACAAGAATACACCTACAAATCTTCTGTCCCAACATCACGATTGTTGAAAATTCGTCTTGGTTTGGAATTTGGATGCAAGAATTCTGCTCCGTATTCTCGGAGACAAAACAAAGGAAGTTTGCCTGACGAAAAGCAAATATTGCAATAATATTCTCAGCATTATCTCATCCTATGTCCTGAATCACAACTTGTATTGATGATATATCATCCTATTGCATTCACCAAGTTTATCTTTACTTTCTAGAGGGAGGTGCGGACCTTTCAAGAATAAGGCAAACAATAAGTAGAAAGAAAAGAAGTACAATTTCAACTTTGACAATTTTTTTGATGTACAATTTTCAGCCTTGCAAAATTGAAGTGCTTTAGATTCAAAGGCTAAAATATTTTACTTGAGTTGGGCAAGCAGGGAAGATAGAAGAAGATTCCAGTACAAGTTAGTTTAGTGCATCAAGGTCCATAACCAGCTACATAGGAAGGAATGATATAATTATAATAACAGATCAAATCAACCAATTAATTCAGCCCCATGTTCTTCAGCAACCATTGAGCCCAGATTTTTCAAGGTTGCATCAACTATCTTTTAGTACTTGAACATTTAGCAGAATAACACAATCAACTAAACATGGAGTGGATGTTTCAACAGTTCAACGACCACTTCCTAAAATAGAGAAGAGGATTAAGTCTCAGAATATCCCTACCTGCTCAAGAAAGCAGAGAGTACAAAGACCGCCTATTTGGTTGAAGGAAATATCAACAACTATGTTCTGCACAATGCATTTTACAAGTTTAACCTGCCATATGAGAATAAAACATCAGGAAGACAAGAAGTAGCTTAGTATTCAATAAATAAATAAAAGATAAGAATTTGCAAGGAACAGGAGAATGAAGTTGGTGATGCATGAGTAACATACAGAGAATAATGCAGGAGATGATACTAGACTGCAATTTCACAATACAGCTTGGGCCTTAATATGTTCCCTTCTTAAAATAATTTGCAAGCCCTCTGAAACAGTGGCGGATGCTGTGATAAGTTGAAGGGTAGAGAAATGGAGGCCAAGAAAAGGAGATACGAGATGCAGCTCTTTCTAGACGATTTAGCTAAAAAGGATCAGCCACAACTTTAGGAGTGGAGAGACCAGTATAGAAAGTCAATGTTGTTCTTTTATTTCATTTGCACGTTTGGTTTAAAGATTCCTTTTTGCATCGATAGGTGGTCGTACTTTGAAAACTTCAGAGGAGTTTCTGTGTAAAGTTGATATAGTCTAGGTGTGCTCTTTAATAAAAAGATCTTGATTTATCCCCATCCCCAATAAGGCAAAAAAAGAACTTGCAATGACAAATAGGTCTTCCTCAAATATTGTTGCCAGAAGCATAATTAGTAAGCCCAGATCACAAAGGCAACAGAGGTATTTGGGCTGTTATGAAAAAGCTACCAAAGGATCGAAAAGGAAAGGAAAGGCAAAGAGCTATAAACCTAATGCAAGAATAAAAAATACAGCTAACATAGATCTGCTATATCATGGTAAATGAACGTGGAAATAAAAAATGCGGATGGTGATGATTCGGATACTTCAGTAGATCAATTATCAATACAAACTAAAGCTCGTTTAACCTAACTCATCCACAACTGACATCCACAGGCAACCTGGATCTTCTAGCTTCTTCAATAAGAACATAATAGAAATAAAATCAATTTTCTCATGCAACCAGAGAAACGAATAGAAATAAAATCAATTTTCTCATGCAACCAGAGAAACATTTTAGACAAAGGTCCACTTAAAATATATTGTTGCATGCAGCACAAGTAAAAGGTTTACTTATTTCTCATAAGAGAAGGCCTTTCAAAAATTCAACATTTAAGTACCAATATCAACCTTATCTTTCTTTGTAAGGGGGAAACACCTCAAAAATAAAACAATTTTGACAGAAACTGCTTATAACATATTGAAAGGTACAATTGAAATAAATTTAGCACCTCAGAGCGAATCATCTGCACGTCTTTTACGACGAATTCTGCAGCTTTATTTTGATCTTCTGCTTCAAGTACAGATACCATATCATTAGCCAAGGCATCCTCAAAATTTGTGCCACCAAATGCGGTCAAATCAATATCTCCATCAGGAAGATAGGTCTTTAATGGGACAGAACCATAAGGGAAAACCTGTAATAAGTTCCAAGAAAATATTCATTTAAGAGTTGGATCAATGCACCAAAACTAACATGTGTCTGCAAAAATAGAACTATGAAAACATTATGATTGCAAATTTCCCCATTNTGTGAACTAAGCCTAATATTTAAGTGGAAAAGGGTAGAAGGGAAGTGGTTGGTCCTAAGGTTGGCTCTATACGGCTCTCTCGGTCATCAAACAAAAAAAAAGTCGCCAGAGAAGTACCAACAAAAATGCGCATAAAGAATCTTTTCATTTAGTAAAAAAAAACTCCAAAACAAATACTCCCTCCGTTTCAACTTATGCGAACCTAATTCCTTTTTAGTCCATGCCAAAAAGAATGACCCCTTTCCATATTTGGAATAAATTTGACTTTATGCGATGATTTATAGCCACACAAAATATATGTGCCTCATTTTACACCACAAGTTCAAAAGTTCACTTTTTCTTAAACTCTGTGCCTAGTCAAATAGGTTCACATAAATTGAAACAGAGGGAGTACAAATGGTTTATATAAGATGTGTCAAAAGAGATTCTTTCACCAATTTCCCTAACCCTAGCTGCCTCTTCCCTCCACCGAAGTTATCCCCCTTAAACCTGATCTGGTAATATACTTCAAAAAGACAACTCAAATTAGAAATGACACTATTTCACCAGTACCTATAGTTAAGCATGCTCCCATCTGCCATCAAAACCATTAGATAAATAAACCTACATTAGTAATATACTTGAAATGGAAGCAATCACCTAACACGGTTAAAATTTTCACACTGCCTAGCTATCTTCTTTGGACCATTTCTTGATTTGTGCATGTCATGCTTGTTCAGTGGCATGCTAATCTTCTCTGTATGTTCCAATTTTAGTGGATGTTCCCGAAGGGACATGTCTAGCTATCTTCTTTTTGTTGACAAGTGGTCTCTTGTCATATAGGGTTTAGTCCGGAGTCATTCTAGTCTAACTATACTTTCTTGATTATAGTAGTGCATTCGAAAATAAGTTTTGCTATGGATACACAATTGGGACACTTGAACCATCAATCTAAAACCACAAATGCACCAGGGCCACTACGATTCGCAGAAGCACTAGCAAATTAAAACTGCAACCTTATCAGATGATTTAGTAGCGATTCTGGAATGCTAAATATAGCAATTCAAATCACTATCCCCCTGTTTACCATTTACTAGATCTTTTGACTTTAAATCCAACTAAATTTAAGAAAATGCCATGCGAATCATCTTTTCTTATTCCTTCTCAAAAAACAAATCATCTATTCTTACTAATTTTGCCATGTTATACCTTAAATATTTCATCCAAATTAGAAAAGAAAAAAGTTATCTAAATTACGCCCCGAAGGCTTTGGTTCAATGATAAGAGCGCAGCGCGTGATGTGTGGGCTAGGCTTTTGTCACAAGTTCGACCTCTACCACGGATCAAAGTCTGATATTTAAGGGGAGAATGGTAGAGTATCTACCAAGTGTCAAACGGTATGCCTGTTGGACCTCGAGAATTTCTCTATGATTAAAAAAGAAAAGGTGAAGCTACTCCTAAAAAACTGTGTTTGACAAATTGTCATTATCGTTCCATAAACCGAAGCAATATATGTATTAGGTAATATCGGCATATAACTCTTCTCCCTTTTCTTCTGTTCTAAACCCTACACCCACCCTACCCCTTCGTGAGCGCCTTTTCTTGTTAATACTCTGACTTTACACCACCATTATTCTGCTCATTTGTTTAATAAAATATAGTAACGGCATCGACAACCAATGAGTAAGCTTATATGTAAACAAAACAAGTACTAAACCTGGTCATGAATACACCCAGTCAATAAATATACCACTTACTGGATGAGTTGCATTGATCAAAATTCTCACTTAAATAAACTGGACTTCAATCTCAAATGGTTAGAATTTCATTCTTCATACTGCCTAGCTATCTTCTTTTTGTTGACAAGTGTTGTATCTTGTCATCTAAGTTTTAGTCTGGAGACTTTTTAGTCTAATTGTACTTTCTTGATTATAGTATTGCATTTGAAAGGAGGTTTTACGATTGATAAACAATTTGGACACCTGAACCATCAATCTAGCACCATGCATGCACCAGCATAACCACGATTCAAAGATGTGCCGAAAAATTTAAGCCGCAACCTCATTGATTTAGTAGCGATTTTGAAATGCTAAATTTAGCAATCTAATATTTTACCATTTACTAGCATCAAACTTATTAACTTAGCTATTCTATACCATAAATATTCCATCTAAATTAAGAAAAAAATGTGATCTAAATAATGACTCCAAGGCTTTGGTTGAACGATAAGAGCGCAACTTTGACATGCCTAATCAGTAACATATTTACTTTTCATATCAGCCAAGGTAGCTAACTTCATTTTGTTGACAAGTGGTGTATCTTGTCATCTAGGGTTTAGTCCAGAGGCTTTCTAGTCAAATTATACTTTCTTGATTATAGTAGTGCATTTGAACGGAAGTTCTGCCATGGATAAACATTTTGGATACTAGTACCATCGATCTACCACCATCCACCGTAACCACAGTTCACAGATGCACTAGAAAATTAAAATTGCAACTTCATGAGATGATTTAGTAGCGACATTTAGAAATCAAAATCATTGTCCTCTTATTTTTACCATTTCCTAGCATCTTTTGACTTTAAATCCTACTTAACTAAAGCAAAATGTGATGCTAATCATCTTTATTTATTAACTTTACTATTTTATACCTTAAATATTCCATCTAAATTAAGAAGAAAAAAGGTGATCTAAATAATGCCCCCAAGGCTTAGGTTAAACAATAAGATGCAACGCGTGATATGTGGGCAGGCGTTCGTCACGAGTTCAAACCCTATCACGGACCAAATGTTTGGTATTTCAATGGAGAAGTATAGAGGGATCTAACAAGTTCCAATGTGTCAGTTGGCCTTCGCGAATTTCTCGGTTATCCAAGAAAAACAATAGAAGCCTACTCCTAAAAAAGTTGCATTTTAGGACAAATTGCGACCCCGTTCCCATTTCATATATCGAAGCAATCTACATATTAAGGTCATATTGGCAATCAAACAACTTTTTTTCTTTGATTGATAAGGATCAAACAAACAACTAATTTTAACACTCTAAACATAATATGAACCTTGCACCTCTACCCAGATACACAAGACTTCCCAATGTTAAGAACATTCGAGTGAGATTTCTTACGGCTAACATAAATTTCAAGTTAGAAAACTTACTACTACAGAAATTGCAATAACAATAAATTGTATAAGTCAAAGTAGCATTAATGACTCTGACTTACAAACCCATGCTTATCTAACGGACCATGCACCAGCCTGCCTAAGCACAGTGTTATTAAAAGCAGAAGAGGAAGGTGACAAGGTCCATGGGGTTTAAAGCAAAAAATGAAGTGCATGCTCTTTTGAAGTGAAGCCCATAACTCACGACATTAAAGAGTTACCAAACATAAATGAGTTTAGTACTATAATGATCAAATTGAATAACTAATTTAGTATCCAATATATCCAACTTCTCAAAGTTGAGATTCAAAGAACTGTCCGCTTCTTGTTGGGATCACTTTGAGCTGATCTGTCTGAAGCACACATTTCTATGACATGCATGGTTTCACCTATGAAGCGACAACCCATCGCTTTCCATCGCTAGCTTTCTGCCTCGGCATCTAAGCAGTAGGCCCAAGTTTATCACTTTGTACTTGCCAAGGCATACCTCCCCCAATGAACACATGAACACGACATCCATACAAATTATAGACCTACATCGTAAATCATGAAAATTCACTAGCAGTAATAAATTGCTATCCAGTCAATAACCATGAGCACACAATGCAGAGAAAGACAAACATCATAAACGCAACTAGTTCAAAGACGAGCATAGGTGGTTCTAGCATATAAGCAGCGGGTGCATGTGCACCCACTATATTTACATGTGAATTTAGACTAGACAATCAAATGAACCAATAACATTAAGCTCCAAGTGGCACATCCCAAACATAACAATTAAACAAAGAACAAAAACATTTATACATAAGAGGTTTAAGTCAAAAGCTAAAATATGCATGTTAATGAAAACTCAGTACCTCACACCCAAGACAACCTCCGATCAACCTCTGAACATAATCAATAACAGCTCGTCTCCGGTCTTCGGACACAGCAGTGGGCTGGACTACCCGAATAATGTTCTGGGTCGCTTTCTCTGCCTTGGCCCACCTCTCAGGCCCAATATCAGATACACTTGGGTTTGACAATACCGCTGAAGAAGATAACAAGAAGAACGTCGACGGCGACGGTGCTGGTATCTCCTCCTCCTCTGTTACTGAAACGCCGTCGTTTGGTTCCCTAAACTCGCCCATGAAAATCCTAAAAATACAATCTTTTTATATTATATTATAACATCCAAATCATGAATTTGCTAATTTTGATCAGAAACAACGGAGAAAATGGATTCAATCAAACAAGAATTGGAAGTCCCAGAAAAAGAAATAAAGTGAAGAATGGAAAGATTCTATCTTTTTCTCTCTCTCTCTCTATATGCAAAAGGGGGAATTTTAAAGGAAAGGGAAAAGATCCAAGATAAAACACAAACCAATATGAAAGTTGAAACTTTCAAGAAAAGCTAAAAAATAAATGAAGAGTTTTTGGGGAGACTGGTTTTTCAAATCCTGGTGATTTTAGGGTAGATTTCTTTGTTTATTTTGGTCTCAGAACCTGGGGTTTTTAATTTATTTATTTCTTTATTACGTTTCAAACAAAAGCAAAAAAAAACATGCTTTGAAAAGAAATCGCTAATTTTGTCGTCTTTGAGCTTGAGTTATATAGTACATTATGTATAAATATTATTAGATCACTCAAAGGACGTATACATGTAAATATTGGATTTATAATCTTACAAATAAAATAAAATAAAAAAATAATTGAGATGATATAAAATTCCTTACACTTAAATTGTAATATGTTATGTTGAACTCTCTTTTTTTGTTTGGGGATGGGGGTAATTTTCTTTTTCTTTTTTCTGGGTNCTGGTAAAAATAATTGATTACTAGCACCATAAATTTTACTACTTATATTACTCCTTCAAACCCTAATTGGAAAACAGATCCCTCTCTCACCTACTCTCTCTTGATGGCTTTTATAGTAACATAAAAAAAGAAAATGAAGGTAATTGAACCCTTTTTTTCTTTTTGTTTTATTTCCCTTATTTGGAAGGTAAAAAATAAATGATGAATGTTTCATATGGTCTCAAAGGTCAGCAATGTGGAAAATGGTCCCATTGGCGTGTTTGTACTTTGTAAGAACTAAGAAGTTATTTTCTGATTTCTGCCTTTGACTATAATTTGAGGAAGTGCTTTGCTATTGGCGATTGGATCTTTTGGTATATGGGCCAGGCCAGGCCCAACAGCAAAAAACTCGTAAGTACAAATAGCACGGGCTAGCCAGTTTCCGGACTAGTTATTTAAAAATAGCCAACGTTTGCCAAGTCATTGAAAATAGCCACTATTTTGCTGCAACAAAGAGCGGTCCAGCATAATATACTGGAGTTCGGTGTATCTGTGTATGAACTTCCAGCATATTATACTGGACCGGTATACTTTACTGGAACTCCGATATATTATGCTGGAGTTCTAGTAAACTTATGCTGGAACTCCATTATATTATGCTGGAGTTCCAATATACTTAGGCTGAAACTCCAGTATAATATGCTGGAGTTTCAGTATACTTATGCTGGAACTCTAGTATAATATACTGGAGTATTTTCCGGATTTTGAACAGTGTTTTCGTTCAGATTTATCTTTACATAAAAAGTGGCTAAATTTCTATTATTTTTGAAAGTGTGACTATTTTTTAATGACCACTTGTAAATCTGGCTATTTTTGAATTTCTCCCCAGGAGAGAGCCACATATGCCCAACAGTATCAAATATCCAAGGGATTTTTACCTTCATATACTACATATGAAACTTTATTATCCTCCCTAATCAAGTTTTAACTTAATTACTTGGTATATACAATTTATTAATTATATACAAATTAGTATTAATGGGTATCCCTTTATATTAAGAATTAAATAGGGAATCAGATATTTTCCATCCCTCTTCTCCCCCCCCCCCNTCCACCCCCCCCTCTCATTCTCTCTCTATCTCTCTTTTTCTCTCTCTTCCTCTTTCTTTCCCAATTTTTCTTCCTTCGTTTTTCTATGCTTTTTACCCTCTCTCTTTTTCAAGGAATTCATTAATGAATTTCAATTGTTTTAATATAGAGTTTTAATTTAGCAATTTTCTTTCATGTTGCACAATTGTGTTCGAATTGAAATTATCAATCAATAAATTTTGAAGGTGTTTGACTCTCTACCATTGATAACCATTAAAAAGTTTCGAAGCTTTGAATTTGAATTTGAATTTTCAAAAACTATAATTTGTTTGGATCGGGTATTGTTGCAAACAATTAGGAATACTCTTTGGAGCTTATATCTCAAATTTGAGGGTATTTGGTGAAGATTAGACTACTATTATTGACAACTAATTGAACACATGGCATACAATAGTTACGAAATTTGTATCAAAGTTGTATGCAAATTGTATTTAAATTATATCCTGTTGTAGTTGTATATTTTTTTTATTTGAATATAATAAGAAAGTTGAAAAATAGTTGTATAATGTATGAATCATTGTATGAAATTTGTATTTAAGTTATCAATACTATTTTTTTTACATAAAGTTATTGATATGTATCAAAAATGTATTAAGAGGGGAAGTTTTGATTAGAATTTCATAGAGGAAGAAGAACACATCACATACAAAATATATACAAATGAGATACGAAATACATACAAAAGACATTGTATAAAATTTGTATGAAAATTATATTTAAGTTGCATGATGTATTTAACTGGGTAAAAATAATGTATGCAAGTTGTAAATAAGTATATACTATATAATTAGTTGTATGAAATTTAGTATGTATGTCGTTGTAGATATATCAATTTGTATTAAATTTGTGCGAAATTTATTTTTAAATTTGTATATTATTATATCATATATTGTTCGAGATGCCTAATTTTAATTCAAAGCTTTCAATTTTTTGATGGCTATTAATGATGGAAAATAAAATACTCTCAAATTTGATTGATTGACAAACAATTTGAACAATAGTAGTGCAACAGAAAGAAAATTTCTTTTAATAGTCATGTCTAACTATGCAAAGAAATGAACTGAATAGATCAATTGGTGTCCAAGTTATTTTGGGCTTAGAAGAGTTATATACACAAGGACAAGGTCTTTATATTTTAAGTCGAGGACTTTCATCTGTTACCCCCTAAAACCACGAACTGCTCATTTCGTTCCTCAAGCCATGTATATATTGTGCTGTTGTGCCATCTTCCACCGTCTCCATTTCTACAATTTCAGTCACAAATTTTATTGAGAGGGAGAGGGTGAGAGAGAGTGATGAAGAAAGAAGGAAAAATTGATGAGAGTGGCGGCATTGAACAGGGAAAAAGGAGATGAGAGAACAAAGGAAAATAGTGTAAATGAATCCCTAATTTAAGGCACTAATATTGGATTGTATATAATTTGTAAGTAACTCTTGTTTAAGATGGGTAATATACAAAATTAGGACAATTTTGGTAAATAAATTTCAAATATTATATAGGAAAGAAAAAATTCCAAATCTACTAGGCCCAACGTATTTGAGGAGAAATTCACCAGAAATTAGCACAGCGTGAGCCCTAAAGGGGATGATCTTGGCGAAATGTAATATTTTTTATGGAATTAGCAAAATGTCCTTTTTTTAATGTGAGCACGTGATTTTTGCTTCACACGACAATCGCTCCAAAAAGAAATAAAAAAAAATATATAATTGGCCCCGCTGTACAATTTCGGATTTCTGTGCGGCACCTTGTGGATTTATTTGTGATTTTGGCCCATTCTTATTTATTTACTTTATTAAAATAAAATTCAAAAAATATATATGTGTCCTGCGTAATTCAAACCGTAATTCGGTCGTTAAATAGAAAATCGTG